CAACCAGGCGAGGCCTAGACACCGGAACCACATGAGGTGCGCATATTCATCTATATCTCCCTTCTTTGTAACAGTCGAGGTCGACTTGATCCAATCCACCATCTCTGTATCGGATGCTGGGTACGCTCGTGAAACTCATCGGATGGCTTCTCCTCCATGATCAAGGGTTGGTGATGAGGACTCCGACCCTACCATCTGATCTGATAGTGGTCTGCTTCATGATAATGGTGTTAGGGGGATATGTTTAGGGACCAAGAAGATATAGACGGCGAAAGCGATTGGGAACCCTCATCGAAGTGAGGCCTTTGTTACTCAATCTCGTGTGACGGGAAACCCGAGTTGGTGATGATAATGTCGATTTAATAAACTGTATAAAGAAGAAAGAGAAATTTAGCTACAACTAACGGGTATTTATAACATTCAACCCCTCAGTGATTGTCTTGACTGATTTCTTTACCCTAGGCCGAATACTTGCCATCCAGCCACACATTATCAAGAATCACTACGCTGTGACAATAATCTGGCCCCCTGGCTGGTAGTGCTGTATCTTCCAGTTTCCTCTATGATTTCCTCAAAGTCTTACAACATAAATCCTCAACAAAACGCTTAGGTATCTACACAAGCTCAGACAATGGTCAAAATGTAACATCTCGGCTCTGCACAATCTGCAGACTCTACATTGAGAGCTGGAGGTTCGTAGAGGACACCGCTGACAGGTGTTGAGAATGGTCCCTCAAGGATTCAGGGTTGGATGGGTAACATATAAAATATTTGTAGGCAGTACTTCTTCGCAATTCTGTTGGAAAATCGGTCTAGGTTCAATGAGTAAAGCGGCTCAAAGAACATGGGCGCGATTTATGAATAGAATAATAATAATATGAATCTGGAGAATATGTGATATACTGTGGCGAAATAAAAGATAAGTTGAATGAATTGATTGGAGTATCTGTCTCTGTGATTCCTAGACGGCTTATATACATGTATACTTGATAGACCAAATCCAAACTAGATACCATCCATCACTCGTTCGATACTCTAACAATGACAATGAATCGCACAACAGTATACAACATGAGTATGGGGTCAGGGTCGGTGTATGAAAGCCTTCACGGGTACCAAACCATACCATGCTCATTTTCCGACCACAAATAGGATCATTGGGTTTGGAACTTTGGTTGTGGGATTTTGTGGGAGAATTTATTTTCTTTTTTATAACTAGCTACTTGTTGTGTAGTCGGTCACGCGGTGAGACCGAGTCGGGCATGTGGGAAGCATGATCTCGGCCGTGTGCACCGGTCCTTGACTCCTAGGAGATATTGAGCTTGGCATAGGGCCTAAAATTTAAAAAAAAATTAAATACCATACCATGCACTTGTTGGGTTTCAAGCATCAAACATGATCAGTAAAGAAGATATCAATCATCTAGGTCGTGAGTCATGTGTGAGAATCTTAATTTTCCCAATCATAGGGAAATTTCAGACACATAGGGTCTGAATTTCCAACAAATTCCTATGACTTTCTGAGGCGCTGAGGAGTTGCTGGGCTATAATTTTTAGTTATCTGGGCTTTTTGAAGGGCGGTAACATATTGGATGGTTTATATTAATTAATTCATTTTATTGTCCTGTCTAAGTCTTTGACTATGTAGGACATGCAGGTCCTCTCTGCCTACAGGCCAAGGATACCTATACCAGTAGTATATCCCCTCCTATGCCTCCCACACAACTCCCCTGAAATATTACTACCCCTCACAAGTCCTCATTCGATCATACAATAAGAGGAGCCCTTTATCCTTCATTATCTCTCCTCTCCAGCCTACGAAGCGATGGCCATTTGCGGGTGCATGGCAGCCGGGAAAAATCGCAAAAACCGCTGGGTGCGGAGCCCTCCTAATACCGACATTAGGAATAAATCCGAAGACATAGTGATCCTTCTGAAGCATTCGGAGAGGCCGGCCAGCTGGGCGCTGCAGACTTGTGGGTACCTCGGGAAATTCACCCTCTGCCTTTCTAGCCTCCTTCCAACCCTCCCCCAAAGGTCGTGCTGAAATATCAGAAAAGTCTTGAGAGAGCGTGATTCCTTATGGTAGCTCAGCCCAACTTCTTTTGTGCCGTCCAGGACTCTGGGGAGTGCTGTCGACTCATCGACAAAAGAAGACCTCCTGGCTAATTAGCCGAAATCTCGGTCTTGGCGCCCACCAAAAATCCAAAGTTGAGAATCCCTCGAAAATATCAGTCCCAGCATGCTCTTCAGAGACCTGTTCCCTCTCTCGCTCCACATCTCAGCCGCCTGTGCCTCCTCAAGATGTATAACACCATTAGAGCATCAGTCACCCATATATCAAGGCCCATGCTCTGTATATAACGACTTCATTTCCTCCTTGCGGGTATACTTAACTTGTTAGAATTAGACTCTAGTCCCATGGTGTCTAAACTGTGTTTATTAGACTGTAGGTTTCCGCCGCTGATCATACATCTACGGGCAAATTACACTTTAGGATATGTGCACGGAAATGAAGGCTGGAAAACTTAATACAGAACTGACGGACATGGTAGAACGTAGTTTTGGACTTGCGCATAATATGGGAGGCAGGTCACAACTCTGTATCGAACATATATCTCAGGGGATATAGGTGCTCTATATTTGACTTTGGGAATATCTATAAAACAAGGCATTTACATGTACATACTAGAGTAGACTTCACGGGAGGGTATTTCCGTTATAAATATATATATATATATATATATATATATATTAAAGATACTTGATAAAGACCTTTACATTATTTACATCCAACTGCAATCGCAGGCACATCATAATCGACAAACAGACCATATTCATTATATGTCTGAATATTTAGATAACTAAAGTCGAGTATAACTCGTAAATTTGTAGTGAGTGATGGCCGGTGATGAATGAGGCAAGATCCTTTTTGCAATTGGGGTGACGCCTTTATCGGTCTTTGAGGCGAGATGATATGTGGTTAGAAAGAGGTTGAGAGCTCCGAAGATAATGGTGAGTGTTGTAGGATTGAGAAGTCGTCAAATGGAGATATGCATGTGTTTGCTTTCGAGTTCGATTCGGATGCGATTCTTCTTGGCTATCTTAGATATGTAGAGCATACTGAGCGATTACACCGGCACCACTAGAAGGTAAAGAATTCGTCTTCGCCGGCGGGTGGTTAATATTAATTGAGCACAGGGCATGACCGCCAATATCTATCGGTAAATGTTATGACACGCAGAATATGGCAAGCAAGACCTCAAGGTTTAAAAGGTAATAAAGCTAAAGAACAAAGCTATGTCTACAAATTACATATATCCTAGTGTATGAGATTTAGCGAATAGTAATTAATAAGTCGTCTGTGCTTCCATAACGCCAGACCACCGTAGGTATCCTAATCCAACTCCTTTTCTGTACACCTTATCCCTAGCCACTTAACAGTAAACATTGAAAATATCAACAAACAAATTTCAAATTAAAATTTAGATCCATTGATATAGCTTAATCAGTCCTTCATAGTCACAGACTCAGTAAGGACTTAAATTAAATTCCATCATATTCTATTGATTGAGCTCGCCGGCACCTAGTTACGTAAATTAGCTTATTTTTTGCATCAGATTTTAATTGCGTATGCAGCTATCTAGCTATGACTCAATATTAAAGATAAGTACAGAATAACGTAAATTAGTATTGTGCGCCAACATGAAGTTAATTACTTTCGGGGGAAAGCGCAGTGTACCCCGTGCGCGGCTCCCTGTTTGTGAGTCAGATTATCCCGAGAGCTTGTACATTGCAGCAGGGATTTTAGCTCCGCCAGCATCTTCAAATTCCGAGTTATTTTAGCTCTGCGCTTTTCCATGTTATTGAAAAGCAGGTAATATCTTTCTCGGGATCTGTGGTATGGTCTGAACTTGCTGTAGTGGTCCATGCGCGAAAGACTAACTAGTCACTCGATGTCTTGACGGAAATCACGTTTTATGAGCATTTATCAGTACCTAACTCCTTGTAGTGTTCTGGACACCGAATCTGCCACAATGCAAGGCTATGAATTAATTATGAAATGAGACCACATTCTTTCACGATAACTTATTCCACACTCGAAATCAAAAGCCAATTGATCATACTACCTTTCAAGTGGATTCTAGGATAGCTCTGGAAGAATTCACATCTCACTACAAATAAACCTGGAGATAATTACAAAATAAAGGTCGACGGCAGAATATAAATTAGTCACTTAATACGATTTAGTATATATTATGTCCGAATATTTTAACCGCTCTCCTGTACTTGAGATGGAACCTATCGAGCGTTGAACTCGAGTTCTGTCTCCTGATGCCCCTATGTCTGGTGGCGATCCAGTATCTGGACTTGAAGAAAAAGAAGGGACCTTGATCCGAGCGACATGATTTTTCGTATTGTGTGAGATGTGTCGATGCGGAGTCACGGTTCCTGCGAAAAAAGGCCCTTCACGTGCGGCACCAACACTGATTGGGCTATCGATTTCGATAATGACGTAGAGAAAATTGTTCGCCAATAAATCATTGTTCAGTAGCTCCGCTCCTGCAGTTCAATGATATAGCTATTCCATGCAAAAGTTTTTCTATGGGACTTGCGGAGCTTGGCTCGGCCACAATCCTCTTCGTCTAGTTTCATGAGCAATCCCCGCCCATGAAAGACTAACTACATCATCGAAACCCGGTAATTCATTTCGACAGAAGCATCTTTACAGTAACCTTTATCCGCCCAGTCAAGATAACGAGGGGAGCCGAAGCCGCTAGATACTGAGGGGTTAACCGCTGACGTCTTGGCGGCGCTTGTGCAGCCCTTGATTTCCCTCAAGTTTTTGTGCGACCAATATCTGACCAAATGCCATGATCTAGTGGCTACTATTACGCGCGGCCTTCCGTACTGCTGTAAGTCTCATCAATGTCATGAAAGCCATATTTTCTGCAAATATTTTTCTCCTTGTTCCAAATCACACACTGGAAATGAGGCAGCATGGTTGCTAAACTGGGAGAAGATATTGTTGCCACGCTGTGAGCTTACTAGATAGACGAGAGTTCAACGCTGACTGCAAAAAGCCTTGCAGATGTACATTACTCTTATGGTCCACCTAACAAAACCTCTTCGCATGATAGATTCGACAAAGCATCACTAGTATGTCTAGTAGAGAATGCTACAATAAGGCGGGCACGGATTGAGATTATAAGTCAATCGGGACTCGCTAATAATAATTTATTGGATGGCTGTAAGTGTAGTCATATCAGCTAATACCAGCTAACAGGAAAAGATTTGGATAGAGTACGAGTTCATTATTCCTACAGCCATTCCAATCTGTTAACACTTTATGTTGATCAATGTGAGGGTCAAGATTGGTATCGCCCTGTACATGATGAGGGCCATGATAGTGATTTTTTGCATGAACTACATACCGTCGACCTATACTTCTGGAAACATCTTGATGCCATTCAGCTTTTAGATGGAATTCGACGAGTAGTACCCCCAGACCAAATCAAAATACTTGACGAACCAGATATTCCACTAATTATTCACAACCCAACCGATCAAAGGCTTACGCTAGAACCAGAAAATCTGACTTCACCCAACTCCACCCACCGACTTAGAGACACCCAGAAGCCTCACCTTGTATTTCCTAGGCCTCCAATATCAGCAACTCCTCCTAACTGTCTCCTTCCCAGTCATACCCCGTTAGCATATGATCCAGCAGCTCCCGCAGCTCCTGAAAAAATATTTCATCGTGAAAAGACACCACCTCCAGAAGATAATGAAGATAATGCCTCGACTATAGCCACATATTCAGAATTATATCAGCCCAGTAAGATGAAAGGCGAGATTACCTTCCCAAGATCTCCACTTCAAAACCACTACTCTGGATCGACATATGAAGTATTACAACAAGCCTACAAACCTCAGCACTCAATTCAAATATCAACAGCGGATACAATTTTTAAGCCACCTTTCCAACCATCGATCACGCCACCTTGTACAACAAATCAATCATCTTTCTTAATGTCTTATCAAGCTCCAGAGTACCAAAATCATTTGATACATTCGACTCCAAATCCAACCTATTCCAGCACTCTCGTGAATTCTTGCGTAAACTTTGACAGTTCATCTGATGTTTCTAAGATAAACAATAGACCTAGCTTACAAACTAAACTTTCCCCATCACCAGATGAAAGTAATCTGAAATACACACATATTCATGACGTTCATAGTATAGGCTTTCATGTATCAGAAAATTCTTTGAATCAACGTGCATATCGACCTACAGAACATGATTCAACACCCAAATCAGCCAAGCCACTTAGATCGCCTGGCTGGAAATTAGAGGAGCGAGCAGCAAAGTTAGAAAAGGGCGTTGGGAGTCTATTCAGAAAGTTGGAAAAAAAAATCGGATAGATTTCACGTCTATGTAAAGTAAATTTCACTCTGTGGCTCTCAACTAAAATTAGTCACAGATTCTAATAAACTTACCGTTAGACAGATTTCATCCGTAATACTTTTGTATCAAAGAGCCTATTTTCAGCAAATAATTATGAGAGTGGTTGAGGACTGGAGAAATTTATTTTCGATAGAATGATTAGTAAAATAATAAACTAGGGGAAGGTAGATGAATGGAAATAATGGTGTTGAGGATTGCAACTTTAGTGTTTCTGGGAGACGAAACTCTACACAAGTCAAGGTTCCGTGGAAAGAGTGGCTAAATCCCACGGATAAATACTGAGCTGAATGGCTGTTCATCACGGGTAATATATCAATAATCTTTGAAGTAACAAAAGAGGATAGGAGGACTGTAAAAGTTTTGGCCTGGGTTAAAAAAGATCCCAATTTGCTAGATAGTCATGGACTATAGTGGCACAACAAACAAAAGTACAGACAATATTTCTAACTTGTGCTCAAGCATCATACAATGCTTTTTCCCTTGAGGGTACAAAAACCCTCGGAGAAGACTTTAAGTTTACCTCCGAACCCGTTTTCGTTCTCAGCGGAGATTAGACTTAGTCGCTTGGAGGATATGACGACAAAATGGAATGGACGAGAAGCGCGAGATCCGGGCGGTAAAGTAAATTTTTCTAAATTGCATTAATTTTCGATTTTAACTTCAACTTTAACTTGTTCACTTTCGCTCTTCTCTTTTTCTCTCTTTGTCAAAGTCAACGCGATTGGAATGAGTTGGGCTCGGAATAAGCAATCCTCGCCAGCTCCATTGGTCCTGTATTATTACTGTAAATCAATTCTGTCATTTTTCAGTGTACGACCATGTAAGACAAACTATCTTTATAACTCCAAATATTTTATATTAAAGTTTTGTTTTTCCTTGAATGATTAGTGGGTTTCCAATTCATGGTTCAATAGGGGGCTCCGGTCCTGTAACCAAAGTGAACTTGAGACTTTAGCTTAGGAATTTACAAATACAATAGTCTTTTTTCCGCTTCTGTCTATGACAGTCTCATCAGGAATACCGCCGTTAAAAACTTTGCTGCACGACAAAATTGAGAAAAATGCATCTCGGACGGATGGGACTAATGAGCGTGAAGTTGACAGCGAGGAAGAAAGAGGGGTTATTATGAAGAACGAGCGCCCACTATCTCTCTATTTGATGCATTTCTTCACCTTCTCCTCTATGACCGAAGGACGAGAAGTCCACATGCGCCTTAGTTCTTGGAGTGGAAGATAATCCGGCGGAGATATACTCACGGGAGAAATAATACGTAATTAGTTTAACAGAATAGCTAGTGCATTGGCTTGGGTACAAAATAAAGACAAACGAAATCATTACCTGGAAAGCAGAGCCCATGCAGGTACGCTTGAAAATACATGAGTCTAGCTACTTTGGGCCAACACTTCTACTTCTGCTCATTTTCGTGCACCCCAAATGAGGCAAGAAGAATTGTGCTGCCAATGGTCTGCTCATACCCAAGCAGAGAGAGGTATGTTTGTTGTACTACTTGAGTCATAGACTAAAGAGTCATCCTACATGTATACATAGCACCGGTCATATGTTATAGCTAGATAGCTACATACACATTAAATGATTTGAAGATTAAAGAGTCATAGGCTATCTAGCACATTGGGCTCCTTTCTGACCCAGGCCACACCTTCCGAGCAAAAATCCGGCATTTCAAAGGCATCTGATTGTGGGGCGACGACAGTGCTATACTTACAGTTTCGATGTGGCTTACGGTAGACTAAGGACAAAAAGCACGCCTGTAATAAGTATCAAAGAATGTCTGGAAAGTCGTTTAGTCAGATGTAAGTTGTCCATTTTCTAACCTGAAACTCCCTATGAATACAAAGACGCTAAAGAGATTATATATAATTCATTTTTACCTGATTTGACGCCTCGAGGCCCATGCAGGTTTTTATCAGAAGATATGTACTTTAAGTAGGATGACTCAATTTGACGTTTAAAACACTCACACTCAGATTTCATTTGCAGATACCACTCGAATTTAACTCTTACGGCGCACAACCTCTTCCGTGCATACCTACTATAGGGAAAAGCGTGAAAAATCTGTGGCTATCCAAGTGTGCTTACATCATCCCCCAAGAACATTATCGCCGCGAGAGAGTGTGGTGTGTGGGTCTGACTGGATTCGAACCCGCTTTCTCCTGTCTCGAATGAGGTAGGTGTTCGAGCTACCCAGTATCTACTTGGGAGAACGGCCCGGATGGTGTACCACTGCACCATCCAACCCCGCTAAAGAGATTACTTAACATAAATAGGGGTCAATTACAGATCTCCATTATTGGACGAGCCGTCTACTTAGGATCGGGCAATCTGGATTCACAATGCGATGGTCAAAAGTAAATGGCTCACGGACACTGACGAAAAGAGGAGCCCCGAGTTGTGACGGCACACGGGCATTTGTGAAACATTCGGCACACATCTGTACGCATAGGTTCTGAAAGAAAAGATCTATTAGCTTTCAGCGGCCTCCATGAATCTAGTAGTAAATGTTCTCCCAGAGCCAAGTTCACTCAAATCTCCTACAACTGATGGATTTGGTTCGTCAGACAATTATTTAAGATTCTTGATCGTATAAATATTTCACTGACAACGAAATCAATCCCCACAAAAGCCTCTTCAAGTTTGAAAGAAGTAACTAATATAGCTTCCTTTTGATAACCACACTTCTCGCTGACTAGCACCAATTGGCCTCCTTATACATACCCAAGACAGTATGATTACCCGCAGGATGGGATGAATGATGTTGTATAGAGTTTCCGGGGCTTATCTTTAGAATGAACGGAAGAGAGATTGGAAAGGGATTTAACCTAACGTCTAGCACAGTTGTAAAATTAAGAGTAATTTCGGATTTTTGGAAAGAAGTTTTACAGACAGAAAAGCTGCGCGCTCCATACGATTTCGATCTTTTTTTTGCATCAGATTTTAATTGCGTATACAGCTATCTAGCTATGACACAATATCAAAGAAAAGTATATAATAGATGACTCAATTTACAAGAAGAGCACTCATGCCTCAGATTTCATTTGCAAGTACTACTGCAAAGTTATGGCAGCTTTTTCTTCATGTAAGATTTCGATCGGGGGAGTGTAGTGGTACATCATACGGGTTGTTTTTTTTTCACATCACCCAGATTGGACCCCTAAATAAAGTCTGAAAAGCACAAGTCACGTGTCTAATTACATAGTTGAATATATATTTAAATATTGAAAAAAATACAAGAGATCCGGTGAAGTGCCAATTTTATGCAGCCTATTAGATTATGATTTCTTTAGATGGATAAATCAGTGTGGCTGGAAGTAGATTCGACAAAGTATTGGGTTAAACAAACGTGTATTATTACTATAGTCATCATTCTTAGGGAATGCTGCAGCCTAGCTCGTACTGACGTTCTACTGCTAGGCTCATCTACACGCGAATATGGAACTACTAATACAGGGTATACAATATCTCCAAACGCCTTACCATTTTTACTCTTTAGTAAATAATAATCACAACCTAAAATCCGTTGTCATCATTTATTTATTTATAATATTTAACGTCGTGCCCGCGCACAGCACGTGAGTTCCTCACGTACCGGTTAGCCCCGTCCAAATTAAACTACGCGACGTGTTGGCGCCCGCACAGACCCAACAAACCCGCCTCCTGGTGGTGTTCTCCGGAATATTTTGAGTAGCCTGGGCACCTACTCCAGTTGGGAAGGAGACACCTCAGATCACGTATCGCGCGGAGATAAGTTTAAAGATGATGGAGGCATGTTTGGATAACTCAGGGTTTTTGAGACGTTTTCCTGAGTGGGTATTCACGGATGAGGGTTGACTTGGGGTGAAGAAAAAGCCCCATAACTTCGCAGTGGTACTTGCAAATGAAATCCGAGGCATGAGTACTCTTCCCTTACGTTGAATCATCCATTCTGTACTTTTCTTTGATATTGTGTCATAGCTAGATAGCTGCATACGCAATTAAAATCTGATGCAAAAAAAAAAAAAGACCCAGGTGACCTATTACACCCGAGCCTTCAAAGGATTGCTGCCGCAATGGAGCAATCGGAACGCGGTCAAAAGCAGCGAATGAGCGTAGCGCAAAATTTCCTGCAAAATATCGATGCCTGGGCATAGTCCCTGTCAGAAATTGAAGGTGCGCACTTAGTCGCGCCACTAACAGAAAATATTTCATCTCTCGTAACAGCGTTAGCAATAGGCAACATCAATGCCACAAACCCCCAAGGCAAGAACTCATCTCAGGAAAATACTCAGATGAAAATCTCTGTACCCAGAGCGACAAAAATAGCGGAGAAACCCCACCACAAATTCCCTCAAAAGCCACAGGAAACTGCTTCACCCGGGGTGACAATAGCCCGAAAAGCAGCCAAGCTCCCGGATCTGCCAGCCAACCTAGTGAAGCGAAGGCCTACCGTGCAGAAAAAACCAGCCTGACAATAGCCTCCAAAAGAAGATAAACGACTCTTCGTTCGCATGGGGCGAGAACATTAGTAGCAGAGGCTATCACCTCTCACAATAAAGGAGTTCATCACTGAGAAAGCTAGAGTCGCACCTTCAGCAATTATAGCGATGAAACAAGTTAGGTCTGGCCTAGCAATGGAGTGCGCATCAGACGCACTCAGGGAATCAATTCTGAGTATGGGTCCTTCACTTCAAAAAGAGGAAATAACAATTGAGCCCGCTTCAGATTGGAAGTCTGTCATTGTCCCTCATGTCCCAATCTGCATCTGTAAATTAGACGGAAGGACTGAGGTTATTGGTGAAATGGTGAAGACGTAATGCCAGGTAGTTTGTGGAGCCACACCAATACAGGTGCGCCAAAACGATACAAAATTAGGAAGCTATTCTGCTAGCTGGATAATAATCTTCAAAAAGGTGCCATCCAACCTGAGATTTAGACTATTCGACGTTAGTGGGCCCGCTATTCC